TTTGGGTAAGAAAATTAGGGACTAGAGTTCACTTATTAGAGTTTAGGTTATAGTGTTATTAAAGCCGAGCCGTTCGGACCGACCGGTAAAACTCCCACCCGGTCACAAAACCGGCTCGGAACAATCTAAAAGCCGCTCCGGTTTTATGTAGCGGTTGGCGAGCGGCCGAGGTGGTTAACCGTTCGAGTCGCTCGTCCGGTTTTTGCCATTCAGCCACAAATTTAATTAAAAAATTTGCAAAAATTGAAAATTGAAATAAACCAAAACGTCGGGCTCTCAAACTGATCCTTATTTCCATTTCACAATTTCGAAGGAAAGAGATGACCTCTGATTAAGAAATGTCCACTATTTTTTACTGATAACGTTTATTAGGTACCGGTTCTCTAACGGTTTTTAAACGGTCTAATGCCGGTTGGACCACTAAAGTGCGAGTCGTTCACATTGTCGGGTCATGCTCTGGTTCGGTTCTGGCAACATTTGTATCATAGCCCAAACTCTGGTTAATTCATGGTCTAAATAGCAAAACTCGATGGGCGTACAATAAGATAAGCGTACGCTTGGCATACGCTAGCCTATACTCCAAATGATTTAACTATTAGATGTACTTCGATGAGCTTCGACCAATCTAAATGGTCAATTATTTTTTTTATTAAATTAAACTTCGAGTTTGGATTTAGAGAATTAGTGTGGGGTTAATCCATTAGAGGTTAGGGTATAGTATCATACCCCAATTCGGTTTAATTGATGGCCAAGATAGAGATTTCTCACTACTACAAGTACATAGAATATAGTATATTTCACGAATACACCAGTCCAAACAATATATATGTATTTATATGGGGCAAAGGCTAGCATACGTCAACCTGCGTTCACACCAATTATTTGTACTTGAATAATCCCGACGAATCAGAATTCTGGATTTTTATTTTGAGATTAAATGAATCTTATAGTTTGGGTTAGAGAACTAGGGACCAGAACTCACCCATTAGAGTTCAGGGTAAAGTATCATGCCCAAACATTGACTAATTCAATATGTAAATAACTATAATGGAAGTGTGTACGATAAGGTAAGTGTACGTTAGGCGTATTCTAGCTTGAAATATAGGGTTAAATTGGCGTACGATAAGCTAAGTATACTATACTACTAGAGTATACCAGTATATGGGTTAGACCGGTGTACTTATAGAGTATATTATACTTCAGGTACTCTTAGTGAGATATCTCTATCTCGATTCTCGACAATGATTTTAACCGAGTTTGAGGTATGATACTATGCCCTAATCTCTAATGAATAACTTCAGGCCTCGGTTCTCTAAACTCAACCTCAAAGTTCAATTTAATAGAAAATGATAAATGACTGTTGAGATGGGTTCTCTAAAGTCAAACCCAAAGTTCAATTTAATAGAAAATTGTAATTGACTGTTGAGATTGGTAGGAGCTCAACAAGGTACATCTAACGGCTAGATCATGCAGAGTATACTATACTCTTGTATTATGCCAATCTTTATCACATGTATATATGGTGCCTTCTACGGTACCCGGGTGAAATCGGGGTACCGCATACCTTAAGTACGAAAACGTTATATAGACATCGAATTAGCAGGATTTTGGACATGATACTATACCCTAACCCTTAATGGGTGCACCCTAGGTTCTAATTATCTAAATCATAAACTATAAACCCTAAGATGGTGCATTGATTTTTTTGCCTATATTTGGACGAATCATAACAATCGATTATTATTTCTAATTAAATTGATCTTGGAGTATAAGATTTAGAGAATTAAGACCTAGATTTTGATCTTTAAGGGTAAGAGTATAGTATCATGTCCGAAAGATCAATCAATTCAAGTTCTGGATAGCATTTTCTTACTCCTGGTATGCGGTACCCCGGATTTCACCCTGGGTACCGTAGAACTCCCCATATATATAATGCACTCTTCACACTTTCGATATCAATTCATGAAAAACATTTACTCATCATTTTGCTCATCTATTACGACTTATATATATAGAGTGATTTTTAGGGTTCCGGCCAACCGGCTGGGTATAAAGCTAGTACTGTAAAATGAACCATAGTTTAACCTTTTTGTCAATTTTACCTCCATATTCTCCATGCATCAACATTGTCCAATGGATTGGGTTATGATGTGAAAATGTCCTCAACTATGTTGTTAACAGTTAGACTTTGACAATCAACCAAACGAAGGTCAACGATTGGTTGACTTCGTGTCACCATGACAGTTACGTCAACAACACACTATAAATATTTTTTAAATATAATTAAAAAAGTTTTATTTTCACTCACACCACATTGATCTTTGTTTTCTCTCTTTCACCATAACTATTTCTTCAGACAGTTACGAAGAGAGGTGGTGGTGAGTGTGACCACTGACCAACAATGGTGCAATAGGGGGGAGTGAGGTGATACATCTACAACACAGGAGAGCAGGAGATATTGAAGGCGACAGCTATTTGGGGGGGGGTGACACCAACTCCGACGCCAATCTAAGGCAAATCCGATGGATCAAAGGCGAGAACCACAACGGTGGATTGGGTAAAAGCTTGGATGATTCAATAATCTAACTTTGGCGCCATGGATGCAATGAAAATAAGGAAGAACATAAGTGAATCGAGTTGTGCTAGTTCCCATGTCCCTAGGTGCGTTCATAAGTGCCCAACTGTTATTCTCGTCTCTGGAACTGGGAGAATCCGGGGAGGAAAATTTATCGTTGTTTGTTTTGGAAGCTGAAATCAATGGATTGAATATATTTTGTTTGGGTCGATTAGTATTGTGTTACCGGAGAAGAAACTATCGTTGTTACACTCTCGGCAGAGAATGATGATATGAAGTAACAGATTCCTTCGCTTGAATTGAAATTCGAAATTTTATAAATTAGGTTGAGCGACGAAAGAGGGCAAAACAATTGTTAAACCATGATTTAGTAGGGAGGATAATTATATGTTAGCTCATGATCTGAAGGCGGTGAATAATAGATTGTTTGTTTCGTATATGCTAACAATAGTGGGTTTTTACAGTTCTGTGTTTACGGTTGAAGTGAGTTGTGTAAGTATGCAATGTATTAATGCTATCCATTGTGTGTGTCAATGTATCTCGTTTTGTGTTAAAGTAATATAAAATATGAAGGATAATCCCTTCCATACCAATTTCCTTAGTCTTTCCATTGACAAAACGCGGGCTGCATTCAAAATATAATACACGATAGCCATGGTGGCAATAATATCAATAGTGCCCCCTTCCTGTACCGTTCAAGAAAGTTGTAAACAGATGCTCAACAACACATTCTTAGAGATTGTGACTGGACAGAAAAAATCTGGCGACCTAGTTTCCTAGGGCTTATTTTGCATAGGGGATGGAAGATCGAGTAAAGATTGGTTGAGTAAAATGATTGAGAAAGCTATAGACGAAGATCTATGTTCAATCGCGATGGCCTCATGGTTCATATGAATAGGATGTAACAATAATCTTTACAACCAGAAACTTGAAGAAGAGGTGTGATTTGAAGATTGTAGCTTTACCTTAATGAATACAAAAGCAATCAATCATGTGAGTCTCTGACAGGTATGAATCATAACGAGTACAAGTGGGAAAGACCGGTAATGGGCTCCCTTAAGATCAATGTTGACGCGTTAAAGGTGAAGGGAGGAGGAACGAAGCTGGTATGGTCATAAGAGATGATTATGGTAGTTTTCTAATGGACACGGTAAAAGAACAAGGATCAATTGGGAATCGGAGTTAGCAGAAGCTCAAGCAGCGCTCTGGGCTATCCAGGTCGTGAGAACGCATGTCTCGAAGCCTGTGTTGCCAGAGTCGGATTGTTGAACTCTAATTCAGAAATTGAACAAGAAAGAGGAGGTTGAGATCAGGGTCGGACCTAGGTTGGTGGTAGGTTTGTCAACTAACAAACCTTGATTCAATTTTAGAACAAAATTCCTTTGTAAAATTTTGATTATTAATGATGGTATTTGAATTCAAGACTATTTGACAATCCTTGTTAATTTTGTTTCATTGTTGAACACCCTTTATATAATTCATGGGTTCGCCACTGGTTGAGATGGAGTCGGGAATTATCACTCGAGAAATTCGAGAGCTGAGCAAGGAAATGAGTAACGTGAATTGGAAGTTCTGGGGATGACGAGAAATTGAGGAGTATTAGAGATGGCAAATTGGCAATCGTTCTTCGCATATGGGAGGAAATAGAAGTTTGAATGGTAGGCCTCCTGTTTTTTGTATTAAATTTTGTTGGAGTAGTGTAATGACACTTTACCAAATTAATTAAAATTCCATATCTTTTTAAAAGAAAGAAAGCATTAACATCCAAATAAAAAATTGTCTATAGAAATCAACAATGACACTCCATAATTGAGAATTTCATACGAAGTCTTCTTTTTTGCGTCTATAAAATTGAAAAAGAGCCATTGCCACTACGAGGTGAAAAGAAAGAAAGAGGCCAAGTCTTGGCCGTGCCCTGCGGTTGGTAACGCTACAACGAGAAATAATTCATTATTTAAATAGGTTTTCTTGGGGACTAATCTGATGCTGTCGATTCCATGTGAATGCAGTTATGGTCGATTTAACGAGCTAGTATTATGCAGATCCAACGGTCAAAAGCTCCAGATGGCTGGCTATACGCTTGGTAACCGAACCATCTGCGAGGACCGAGAATCCGGAACAAGATCATGGTTTCCCGACCGCTGACGTGTCCTCAAAAAAGTCTGCGCTAGATACAAAAATATCCGTACTCAAGAAAAAGCCCTATCGAAAGTATCGACCACTCGCAGGCCGCAGCTGTGCAATGTGCATGGAAAAAGAAAAAAAAATTAAAGGAAAAGAAATAAAGTAAACGTAAGGCGTGCATGACAGTGCACCTGGACCAGCAACACCGCGAGAAGCAGCGAAGCAAAACCCGGACATTTCCCCGTCTAATTAACCGGAGTTCATAATCGCCGATACGTCCGGCCCTCTTTTTGGGCTGAGAGAGGTGGCCTCCGCCTGCGTTTTCCTTCTTCCGGTCAATAAAGAGTTGTAAAAAAATAAGAGAGATTCCAAGGAAAAACGCAGCAACAACGAAGCACTACACCGAGGGAAGGAGAGAGATAGAGAGGAGTCGGCGGTTGAAGGTTTCATCCCGCAGCCGAAACCCTAATTGAGCCTTCTCTCTTCTTCTTCTACTTCTGTTTCGGTTCTGCAGCAGCCACCACAAGTGCCTGGGATTCATGTGATGGTGCTGTGTTTCCCGTCTTTCTCGATTTGGGTGGTGTTTCGTGGTTGATTTCGATTCTTCCCTCGGTCGCGTTGTCGGATTGCTTCGTTGATTTTGAGTGGATCAGTTGCTGTTTCGGGAGTGTGTTTTGTTGTGCTCGCCATCATCATCGATGGTTTAGCTATTGGATTGGTTGCTGCTGGGGATTCTTTTGCGCGTGGCAGTTCTAGGGGAGGAGGTTGTGGAAGATGGATTTGGTGAATAGCTGCAAGGTAAATTGGTTTGAATTATGGAGGCAGTAGTGTTCTTCAATTCCGAAATCTTCTCTTCTCTTCCCTGCTGCAGCTGATATCTGTTTGTAGCTAGAACTTAGAATTGTCTCGTTGCTTTTTGTGTTACTTTTTAATGGTAAAACGAAAACCCTGTTTAGAGGTTTGCTGAAGCATGCAGCAATGGGGAACGCGTATTCATAATCGTGTTACGTACTTGTTCAGCGGCTTCACTGTCTTATTTTACACTTACTGGGAACCACAATGCAGAAGATGCTTCGCAGAAATGCTGTTCCGTTGAGCATGTGTGATATGCTCTCGTCGAATGGCTTGCAGTTTGGATTTTTCTCTGCTACAAGAGAGTATTGGAAATGGAATAGTTTACTGAGGTGGCTACCATGTCTTGTTTGTACTCGGCTGAAGTAGGGTAATTTGGGATTGGATTTGGAGTTTTTATATGTAACTTTCAGTGTGTTATGGGCTCTCTTAATCACATAAATGCAATCAGAGTAGTATCTTCTCTTTCCGATTTCTTGCACTTGTTGTCGCCTGACGGGTTGAGGCATCATTTCTCTTGTAGGAAAAGTTGGCTTATTTTCGAATAAAGGAGCTGAAGGATGTCCTGACTCAGTTAGGGCTATCAAAGCAGGGGAAAAGCAGGTTAGGTTCATGATCATTCTTTGTACCCGCTTTAGCATTCGTTGCTAATTGTATGAAATGTTCTTGATCAAGCTGTTCTCTTCGTTGCTGTTACTTGTACTGTACAGGACCTAGTTGATCGCATATTGAATGTCCTGCACGATGCACAAGGTAAGAGATCCCCCAGTGTTGCAAACTCACCTCTTTGCTTCCCTCCTCGTGCTTTACCTTCTTTGTTTGGCATTGTGGCTTTTGGTTCATATGGTCTGTTGATGTTCATCGAAAAGAATTTGTTTTTCGAATGTTGCTGTAGCTGTTTTCTGAAACCATGGTCTCAGACGGAAAATACCTGTTCAGCAAGATCAGTTAAGCAAAACTATGGATTGATATTTTCTTCTACCAAATTCTTCTTTCGGAGAATGAAAATCCAACTCCATTAGTCTGACTACTGACGCATTGACAGGTGCTGTCAGTTGTAGCCATTATTACCCTAATAATGCCTGAAATATACTGTAGTTGTTGCATTAGCCCCCCTTCCTCGTCCTTCTGTTGCCGCTTTTACGAACTGTTATGTCGGTGAGATCTGCTCATGTGAATGTGCAGATAGTCTGTCACAGTTATTTCAACATGGCATTAATGATGTGTTACCTATGTTCAGGTTCCAAGGCGTGGCCAAAGAGGGGTGTTCTTGGAAGGGACGAAGCAGCAAAACTTGTTGATGACATTTACAGGTTCCTAATGACATCTCTTGACTTGTAAATTTATTTTCCAAATTGTCCTGATACCTTTGGTATTATATTATGCGACATTTTCTATTGAAAATAATTGTCTGAAGTAAGTCAGCTTTGATCATCTCTACTATGTACTTCGTTCATTTTGCATATATCACACTGATCTCGTAAAAAAATGTACCGTTATCGTCATCTTCAGGAAAATGCAGGTTTCGGGTACTGATTTAGCATCAAAGGCGCAATGTGTTTTGGATAGCAGCAATTCGAATCCGAAAGTTGTTAAAGGAGAACCCGAGGACTCTTTTCACCGTGATACCAAAGTTCGGTGTCCCTGTGGCAGCTCATTGGAAACAGAATCGATGATTAAGGTGATTTGCAATTGTGAAATCTTTGGAGCTGTTCCCTATATGTTTGGCACTTTTGATATTTGTATGTACTCCTACTTTATTGCATGGATGAGTTTCCATCATAGTAAACTAGATATTCTGACTGCTTACATTTCTTTCTTGGAGCAGTTATACTAGCATACCATTTGTGGGTACCTACTCTTTTAGGCGTGTGAGTTGTTAGTCTCTCTTGGGGTATGAGGAGCATGGCCCGTGACATTTATTTCCAACGTGTTTTTTTTTGCTGTAATATCTTTACCAAATTTGGTTATGAACCAATTGTAGCTGTTTCATTTCTTAATCACTTTGTGATAACCACTTAGGAATTCTAAGTTTTATTTTCAACTGGTCCACTTTTCTTGCACAAGCGTATGCCAAGTGTAAGGACTTGATCCTCTTAAGAATGATTTGTACTGTGGCTTATCCGTGGAACCACTATTTTTCCAACTGCAGTGTGAGGATCCCAGATGCCAGGTGTGGCAGCATATTGGTTGTGTTATAGTTGCTGAGAAGCCTATGGAGGGAAGTCCCCAAGTTCCCGAAGTATTTTACTGTGAGATTTGTCGACTGAGCCGAGCTGACCCGTATGAATCATTTATCTACTCATTGTCATGTTTAAATTGTGCTGCTGAATTAGGTTTTCTTTTCTGTCTTTGTTATTGCAAACATCTTTGTTCCAGGTGCCTTTGTGACCAGTGACACACTGACATAGGCCAAACTTTGGGGTGGATTTTATTTAGGAATTTATCCTTGTCTTTAATGGTTGATGATAGCTATGCCTACTAGGGAAGGGGAACTAGGTGAAAGCTTTAAATCTGGTGTTGTTAAGTTTTGTTTTCTCTGTTATTAAGGCATGTATTCATGAGCTTAGTGGCAATCTTGTTTACAGTCACTTGGATGGAGCTGAACTTTTGAAATAATACATGCTTGTGCCTTAGTTTGTTAGATGGTGAAGCAGATCAGGCACAAGGAAAATCCTGTTGTGGGAACAAGATTCGACTTTTCATTTGTTTACGACTTGTTTGGAATATTCTGTAGCTGAGAGTGAAAGTTTACCGAGTCAGCAGAAGTAAACTTATCTGGATTTAGTTGATACATTGTCTATCCCTCTCTTCATCTCAATTGCTCATAGTTGCCTAGTGTCAGAAGCTGAATACACGTTCCTTTTTTCTTAGATTTCTTGTTTTATTATAACTTTATGTCAGTCCGATTTCTATTAATGCATTTGTTAAAATTTAAAGGCTATATTTCTTTTCATGGTCTCAGAGTATCCATGTCCTATGCATCTCACTAGTATTTGTCTCTAATATGAAGTAAACTTTATCTGCAGCTTTTGGATTGCAATGGCTCATCCACTATCTTCTGTGAAGCTGGCCATTACAAATATCCCAACTGATGGGTAGGTTTATCGTTATTGTATTACTGATTTTTTGAGGTCCTCGATGGATTGTTCATTCTTTTTCTTAGACGCTTTGCATTTTGATTTGAGGCGTATGTACTTGTCCAGTTTTTCAATTTGTTGATAAACATTGAATAGGCTAGTTTGCATTTCACTATCCATAGGGTTTGGTCTGTAGGCTTTTCTTGCAGTTGTCACGCACAGTAATTATAGTTTTGGGGTGTGTGGGCATATAATATATTCTGGGAGAAATTCTGCTTGTTAGGTTTAGGAATATTGACTATGTAAGTTGCATCTCTTTGTCCTCCTCTACCAATTTACAGGTAAGTTTGAGGCCAAACAAAGCACTGTCTTACTTGCATTTGTTTCGTCATGCAATTAATTGATGGACTCTCATATTTTAATCACTTGCTGTATATTCATCTGCCTAGTATTGCTACTTATATTCAATATTCTCCAGCACAAATCCAGTGCAGAATATAGAGAAGTCATTTCACCTGACGAGGGCAGATAAGGACCTATTGACTAAGCCAGAAATTGATGTGCAGGTGGATTGATTTAGATGTTTTTCGTCAAATTTTCATTTCAGGAGGTGCCAGAAAATATGTCAAAGTGATTTGTTTCCGTATTTTTTTTTAACTCATCGTAGGCGTGGTGCATGCTTTTGAATGACAAAGTCCCATTTAGGATGCAGTGGCCTCAACATGCTGATTTACAAGTCATGGTATGATAATTACCTTCTATTCATAGAATGTCTATTTAACTAGTTTTCTCTCTTTAGGTTTCTTGATACGACTTGTAATTTGTTTGGGTACACAGGTGTACCTGTTCGTGCGATTAATAGACCTGGCTCGCAACTGCTCGGGGCAAATGGCCGTGATGATGGTCCAATTGTGAGTTTTTGGTTTATATTGTTATTAGAATTCTTTGTTGTATAAATAGTTGTAGGCTAGTTTGTTCGGGGTCTAGCAGAGTCAGTGGCCACGTAAGCCTCAAGTATTTTGTAATTTGTCTTTAACCTTCTTTGAACGTCTTAATCATTGGTTAGATCACACCATGTACGAAGGATGGGATCAATAAATATCGTTCTGGATTTGATGCCCGGGTTTTCTGCTTGGGGGTAAGGATAGTGAAGCGGCGTACACTTCAGGTAAGTGTGTGACTCTGTCTGAGCATAGCTGCTTGAATTGTTGAATTCCGCAGTTCTAGGTCTTTTTTATCTTCCAATCTTCTCAAGATGATGGACTTTCTGTTATTTATAATATGATAAGCTTTGGAATAGATACCAGAAGAGCGTGTTTGATTGGTCTGAAGTATCTCACATTATGTACAGTTTTTTTTTTTTTTAATTATCATTTCATTCTTTTTTATCTTGTATTTGGCGTGTGAAATTCTCTTCTAAACATTGAGCTGATTCTAAACAGAGCACAACGCACACTTTGATAAAAATAGGAGCTGCTGTAGTATGTATAGTTCTGCTAAATAATCTTTAATGTTATCGTTTCAGATACTTGGGTTGATACCTAAAGAGTCTGATGGTGAACAATTTGAAGACGCACTTTCTCGTGTTTGCCGTTGTGTTGGTGTGGACTCCAACTGATGGTGCTGACAGTGACAGCGATCTCGAAGTTGTTGCAGACTCCATTACTGTCAATCTTCGTTGTCCTGTAAGTGAACTTTTTTAATTTGTTTATGAACCTTTGAATAGCTGTTCTGTTCAGTACTGGTCATCTGAGCAATTGTTTTGTGTGTTTTTAAACCGCCAGAGAATCTCTTATCAAATTGTGGATTTTTTGTATTCCCTGCGCAGATGAGTGGTTCAAGAATGAAAGTTGCTGGAATTTAAACCGTGTGTTCACATGGGCTGTTTTGACCTTGATGTTTTTGTTGAGCTCAATCAGCGTTCTAGGAAGGCAAGTAACTGTTGTTCATCCCCTTATTTTTTCTTTTAAGGTTCTAGTTATTTGTTCTGTGTCTTGAATGTTGTGTGTGGATTTTCTGCAGTGGCAATGCCCCATTTGTCTGAAGAACTACTCATTGGATAGTGTAATCGTCGATCCTTTTTTCAACCGCATCACTACTAAGGTAGTGCTTTCTTGTTTAGTAGTCTAATAATTAGTTTTGGTGTTTTGTGACATAAATCTTAGCATCGGGTTTTTTTATTCTGTGTTGTTTGCAGATGAGGCACTGTGGCGAGGATGTAACAGAGATTGAGGTAAAGCCTAATGGGGCATGGCGTGTGAAACCAAACCGAAGCTGAGCAGAGAGATTTGGGAGAACTGGCACAGTGGCACAATCCTGATGGTACTCCATGCAGCATACCAAATGGGGAGGTTCAGTCAAAGGTGGTGGAAACAGGGAAGCAAGTCAAGCAGGAAGGTAATTCTGAAGGTCATGGTACTATTAATGGTTTGAAACTTGGTCTTAGGAAGAACCTGATGGGCTTTGGGTAGTCAGCAAACATGAGGGTATGAATGGCTCTTCTTCAGGAACAACAGATTGCAGCCGGATAACTTTCAGCAGAAAGTTATTCCCATGACTAGCAGCGGTACTGGCAGTGGTGAGGATCCAAGTGTGAATCAGGATGGTAATTTGGATTTTAATAATAATAGTGGAGGATGGAACTCGATTCATTAGCTCTCAATATAGATCTACGTATGGGTTTGGTGCACAGCTATTTCTGCTCCAGTGGCAGCGGATGCTGCAGAGATCATTGTTCTTAGTGATACAGATATGAAAAATGATATACTGGTGTCTTCTGGCGCTGGCTTCAACAACAACCAGAATGATGTTGGTGCGGGCTGGTTTCTCAGAGGGACCCGATCTGGATTCCAGAACCACCTTATCACCCGAGGATCCCAATCTTGGCGCTGCTGCTGGAACGTCCTGCTTGGGTCTTTTCAATGACGAATGATGATGATTATGGAGGATTGCCCCTCGGCCACCACCCCAGGGTGGCCCAGGGTTCCAGTTATTTAGTTCAGATGTCTCAGATCCCTTGGTTGATTTGCATCATGGTCCCACATCAATCAATGGATACAGTTTGGTCCTGATACTGGCGTGGGACATGTCAATTTGGTCCCACCAGATACTTCAGTGGGTAGATCTGACGGGAATGGTGGGTTGGTTGATAATCCATTGGCTTTCGAGGAAGATCCTTCTCTACAACTGTTTCTTTCCAACCAGGCCATTAGATTCGTCAATGCATTCCAATAGAGAGATCATCATCAGGTCGATGCATCGTCGAATAATGGTGGGCTTCGATCTGAGGATTGGATCTCTCTTAGGCTGGGAGGTGGTGCTGCCTGCTGCTGGCGGTGGTCATGGTGAATCTGTACCACTTGCAAATGGCAGCTTAACTTCAAGACATGCGATGCCTACTAATAGAGATGGTGCTATGGGTTCTTTGACCGACACTGGTTAGTTAGTTCTTTTCCATAAATGCTTAATACAATTATATGGGTAGCGAAGTTGATATAGATGTTAATTACGAGGCTTACATATGAAAGCTACCTGTGTTTGTTTTGCCAATTTACGTACTACCACCTCTCTAGCGCTTGGGTCTGATGAGTGTGCTGGTGGTTGTTGTTGTGTCTGTTTTGCAGCCTCATTACTTCTTGGGAAATGACGTGGCTCATCTGAAAGGCAAGTCGCCCGAGAACTGAAAGCCCTTTCTCGTTCCCTAGACAAAAGCGCTCTGTGAGACAGCGTTTGTATCTTTCCATTGATACGGACTCTGAATAGACAACCTGCGGGCAATTGATACCATTATTTTATCAATTTTTGGGGGACAGAAGCCGTACTCTGAATTCTGGAGTGTTTCAAGTTTGGCGGCTGTGAAGTCTCCTTCCATCCATCACTCAGAACCAAGAAAACCCTCCCTGATGAAATGTGAAGAAGTCTCAAATGTCTTGAGATAATTGGCTTTCAAGCAAATGATAAAGAGGGAAAAAGTCTACAGGAGTGTTATTGAGAATCGAGTAGACATCTGAATTTTGTGCAGGAGCAGAAGTCACCTCACCCGGGGACTGGGGTTTTCGGATGCAGTAGTTCTTATGAGCGACTCTTTTTTGACTGGCACAGGACCTGGTCCATTTCGGCTAGTGTTTTATCGTCTCTTTGGTGTTAGTATAGCCCGAGTAGCTGGGGAAAATGTACAGTAGGGGGAGGATACTTAGGTAGCAAGGTCCAAGAAAGGAAGCAGCTGATTGAATTGTGTGGTAAGTCCCGTAAGGTTGTTTTGAACCTTTGGGATGGTTAAATGGGAAATGCCAAGGCGCGACACGGCGACAGACACAGCAACCAACCTTTTCGGTGATGTTTCGTTCTTGTGTCCATCTAACGACCCAGAAATTGAGCTGAAACTAAGTTAGCGTGTAAATGTTATTCCTGCTACATTCGGTTATGATAAATTGAAAGAATTTTACCACGGATCACTGCAAACTGTTACTTCAGTGCCTGTAATCGTCTCTTTGGTTTGGTGTATTGTGCACTCTTATTTCCCAGTTGTGTCGTCGCATTTCTGGATGGTCATTTTGCTACTCAATTTTGAGGCAGGGTTACGTTTATGGAACAATCTAAAGAAGGCAGACATCGGTTGCTGCTTAATGTAACATTGATCTCCCAAATTTCGACCAACTGAACTTGTTCAACACAAGAGACTAAAGAAAAAACGAGATGCCGAATTAGGTCATGCATACACCAGAAGCAGAGAAGTTGCTACGAACATGGTCTCTCTGTACTGACTTAGTTTACTGTTGTATTCATTCTCCAGGAGCAGAAATGCCTTGCCTGAGCCTCTCCCGCTTCATCTTCTTCTTGGAGACTGGCTTCTTCTTCTTCTTCATTTGTGACGCGAAATTCCTTTGGGCGTAACGGTATACGAGATAGTTGCTCACCATGAACAGCAGTAGCAAGCCTAAAACGATCCCCAAAACGATCATCCCATGGTTGCTGCTTTCCCCAAACTCGTTGATTATAGTGTTACCATTTTTATCCCTGGTTAGCCGACCCTGTCACACCACAGGATTTCCAATTTTAATATCTATATATCACACGAAGAACCATTCATCTTTTTTATTATTATCATGGATATGACATTCAGATTCAGGGGAGTGCACAGAGAAGGTTAGATCTCTCAACAAGATAACATGGGTCAAGCATTTTACCAAACCTGGAAACGATTAAAGGATCGGTGAAGGAAGTTGACAAATGCAATGAATGGAATGAAGAAAAAGGATGATGAAATGGGAAGAAGGGATTAAGGAGGATCAGATGAGATCACATTACATTACGGATGTAATACTTCTTCTGTGGTTTCGAGGCGACCAGCTGACGAACTCATCCATGTCCATGATCCCTGATGGCGTTGTAATTGCTGGTAGGAGAGAAATGGAGAAGCTTTGAAGACTTTCGACAGTAGAATGGCTTCTTGGATTGGGGACCTGACCTGGGTTTGTATTTATGTTGCGTGCAATGCAAATGCATGCATGTGGTTTTTTCTCCTGAAAAAGAGGCTGCCGATGACTTTCGTCCCTAAAAATAGAAAAGAGAACTAGGGAGAGAGACAGAGAGTGTGAGCCGTAAAATAAATGCAGGGTGATGGAAAAAGAAGCGCCCACCGTGGGGCTCGAACCCACGACCACAAGGTTAAGAGCCTTGCGCTCTACCAACTGAGCTAGACGGGCTTGTTGTTTAAGTTTGCATGATAAGCTTATTACTTTATTTTTAATTCTCTTTTTACAAACCTCTTTCGTATCTTTAGGTAAATAAAAGTGATTTGATGTAAATAATTAATAAAAGTTATTTTGTCTTCTTTCGAATAGTGGGGGATTTTTTTTCTTCTTCTCATTTGCTTATATTTCCATGGATTACATGTCTCTACATTCCAATTACACTTCCACCAAATCCACTTCATTATGGAGACAAGGTATGCAATTTATAACTTCTTATTCTTGTATTTCTTGATGTTATAACTTGATACTTCATCGCATTTTACTATCACTAATATAACTATATATGGATAGATACATCATAATTCTTGCGGGTCTAAGATGTTTTCACCAAATCCACTTTTTGCTCTTGAAAATAGAAACTTTTTTTGTGTCTCATACTTTTTTTATAGGAACTTGGTAGAGATTTTATTGCTTAAGCATCAGGTAGGTTACAATCCGCTTCCAACCGGTAGTAAAGATAAAGGAGGCCTCTCTTCCCAACATTCCTAGGTATCCCATCTACACCCAAAGTGGCCATAGCATGGGTACTTCATACAGTCTCTCCTAACAAAATTTCATTTGATCTGGCCCAAAAGATGGGCCCTGGCCCTAAGCTCCGTCTGAGTTCACCTTCTTCCGTCAGGGCGTCCACGTCACCATTGAGCTTTGAGATGGCCCCAAACAGTCTGACTCGATTTCCCCATCGCAAAACCCTTCATTTCCACTACTTCCAGCGCGAAAATCGATGGCCTGGAGCTCGACAATTTCTGGCCTCCACTGCCTCCGATCTCGGCGAACCGCTGCGAACAAGCATAGTCCGTTCAGTCCCAGACGACCACCCCAGCTCCAGTCCCTTCTCCCTCAAAGACGCCGCGTCAACATTTATTTTCACGGTGCCCGCCGGCGGTTTCTTCCATTTCACAGGTACAACTTCCCTTCTCCCCCTCCTCCTTGTGCCGGCAGATAGGAATTCTTCATGATAGGATAGGGCCTTTCCCACGATTTCCCACTCTTCCGCCTTCTTCTTGTTGACAAATGATTATTTCGTTCGTTCCAAGATTCCATAGAATCATCGTGAATTTTGCTAGGTGTTCCTCTTCGATTTCCTCTGATACTTCGCAGAACCATGATGTGCATGATAGATTTCCCCGTTTCTCGAAGATAGGCATGAAATCAGTAGGTT